TCTCACTTTCTTCCTCTCTCTCTCCGCCTCTCTCTCTCGCTCTCTCAATCTCTCCCTCTCTCTTTCTCTAACTCTACCTCTTTTTCTCTCTGTCTTTCTCAAACTCTCCCTCCTCCTTTCTCTCTCTGAAAGATTGTGACAGAGAGAGACATACACTACACTATCTCCACGGAAGGAATCGTACGCACTGAACCTCCTACTATTAAGGTTTACGAAGATTCAATGGTAAGACGAGTGTAAATTCCTGCGGTTATATGTCCACGAATATAAAGTTTAATCAAGACGATAAAGTACACTCTTCATCACGTGTTGTTAAAAAGGTAGAAAAAGTAATTATAAACAATTAACAGTAATTAAGGAAGAAAAATAGGAGTCCTATTATTTTATGTATTATTATGAATAAATTATATCACGCAAAGACTACTTCTAAACAAAGGATTCGAAAGGTTAGCAAAACTGTATAAGGGTTTTAATGCACATTATCTGAAAACAATTTATCAAAGATATTATTTCAAAACATTTAAAAATGCATATTCAACATAGTCACAATTTTTTCTTAGTAAATTTACCTGATATCAAACAAATAATGAAGTAAATACCAAATAAATATAAAATAATTGTTACATATCTGAATATATCAATATGTGAAACAGCAAATACATAATAGAGCAAAATAACAAATAAAGAAACAAAAAAATAATAAAATGCTTATCTAAAATATCACCATTAACAAAATAATAAGAAAAGAAATTTTAAAAAATATATACCAAACACGTAAATATAAGAAGGAGCCAATAAATGATAAGACAACAAATAAACAGATAAAAAAAAGCAAATGCATAATCAAAATCTTGTTTATATTGAATATGAAACACAATAATAATGATGAGGATAAACATGATAATAATAATAATAGTGATAATAATAGTAATAATAACGACAATAATAATAGTGATAATAACAACAATGCATAATAATTTATACATATTTATACTTATGTATATATACACGTGTGTGTGTATATATAATATGTATATAACAATAAATGAAAATTAAAACAACACAAAGCAATGAAAAAAACAACAAATGCATATCTGAAATTCCGTCATAAACACACACACAAAAATGATCTATATATCGAATATTCAAAATAATAATAACAAAAGAAAAAAAGAATGAAATAAACTAAAAAAAATAAAAAATAAAAAAGATTTTTAAAAACTACATCAAAAGCATATCCGAAATCCCGTCATTAACAAACACACACATAATCTTTGATCGTAAACCTTCATATTCAAACGACGCAACTCCACTCGCCCAAAGAATCCGTTACACCCGGTTTGAATTTGAAACGTAACGGTTTTCATCGAGATATTTCGAGGAGCTGAACAAACCGTCACCTGCATTCGGGTCATATTGGCTTCAGCAGAAATGACATGACTCGGTCTAGACTCGATCGGCTGTAAATAGAGTGTCTTGACAGCGTCTGTTGCAAATAAATATCATTTTGTTGCGATGGAAGGAGACATGATGCATTTTTTTCGCGGAGTTTGATTTGTGTGTTTGTGTTTGTGTGTGTGTGCGTGTTTGTATGTTTGTGTGTGTGTTTGTGTGTGTGTGTGTGTGTGTGTGTATGTGTG